TTGTTACATTTCTGTGTTGTCTGCTCCTGTATGTGAGACAGTGTTACATATCTGTGTGGTCTGCTCCTGTATGTGAGACAGTGTTACATTTCTGTGTGGTCTGCTCCTGTATGTGAGACATTGTTACATTTCTGTGTGGAATGCTCCTGTATGTGAGACAGTGTTACATTTCTGTGTGGTCTGCTCCTGTATGTGAGACAGTGTTACATTTCTGTGTGGTCTGCTCCTGTATGTGAGACAGTGTTACATTTCTGTGTGGAATGCTCCTGTATGTGAGACAGTGTTACATTTCTGTGTGGAATGCTCCTGTATGTGAGACAGTGTTACATTTCTGTGTTGTCTGCTCCTGTATGTGAGACAGTGTTACATTTCTGTGTGGTCTGCTCCTGTATGTGAGACAGTGTTACATTTCTGTGTGGTCTGCTCCTGTATGTGAGACAGTGTTACATTTCTGTGTGGAATGCTCCTGTATGTGAGACAGTGTTACATTTCTGTGTGGAATGCTCCTGTATGTGAGACAGTGTTACATTTCTGTGTGGTCTGCTCCTGTATGTGAGACAGTGTTACATTTCTGTGTGGTCTGCTCCTGTATGTGAGACAGTGTTACATTTCTGTGTGGTCTGCTCCTGTATGTGAGACAGTGTTACATTTCTGTGTGGTCTGCTCCTGTATGTGAGACAGTGTTACATTTCTGTGTGGAATGCTCCTGTATGTGAGACATTGTTACATTTCTGTGTGGTCTGCTCCTGTATGTGAGACAGTGTTACATTTCTGTGTGGTCTGCTCCTGTATGTGAGACAGTGTTACATTTCTGTGTGGAATGCTCCTGTATGTGAGACAGTGTTACATTTCTGTGTGGAATGCTCCTGTATGTGAGACAGTGTTACATTTCTGTGTGGTCTGCTCCTGTATGTGAGACAGTGTTACATTTCTGTGTGGTCTGCTCCTGTATGTGAGACAGTGTTACATTTCTGTGTGGTCTGCTCCTGTATGTGAGACAGTGTTACATTTCTGTGTGGAATGCTCCTGTATGTGAGACAGTGTTACATTTCTGTGTGGTCTGCTCCTGTATGTGAGACAGTGTTACATTTCTGTGTGGTCTGCTCCTGTATGTGAGACAGTGTTACATTTCTGTGTGGTCTGCTCCTGTATGTGAGACAGTGTTACATTTCTGTGTGGAATGCTCCTGTATGTGAGACATTGTTACATTTCTGTGTGGTCTGCTCCTGTATGTGAGACAGTGTTACATTTCTGTGTGTGGTCTGCTCCTGTATGTGAGACAGTGTTACATTTCTGTGTGGTCTGCTCCTGTATGTGAGACAGTGTTACATTTCTGTGTGGTCTGCTCCTGTATGTGAGACAGTGTTACATTTCTGTGTAGCTTGCTCCTGTATGTGAGACAGTGTTACATTTCTGTGTGGTCTGCTCCTGTATGTGAGACAGTGTTACATTTCTGTGTGGTCTGCTCCTGTATGTGAGACAGTGTTACATTTCTGTGTGGTCTGCTCCTGTATGTGAGACAGTGTTACATTTCTGTGTGGTCTGCTCCTGTATGTGAGACAGTGTTACATTTCTGTGTGGTCTGCTCCTGTATGTGAGACAGTGTTACATTTCTGTGTGGTCTGCTCCTGTATGTGAGACAGTGTTACATTTCTGTGTGGTCTGCTCCTGTATGTGAGACAGTGTTACATTTCTGTGTGGTCTGCTCCTGTATGTGAGACAGTGTTACATTTCTGTGTGGTCTGCTCCTGTATGTGAGACAGTGTTACATTTCTGTGTGGTCTGCTCCTGTATGTGAGACAGTGTTACATTTCTGTGTGGTCTGCTCCTGTATGTGAGACAGTGTTACATTTCTGTGTGGTCTGCTCCTGTATGTGAGACAGTGTTACATTTCTGTGTGGCTGCCCTGTATGTGAGACAGTGTTACATTTCTGTGTGGTCTGCCCTGTATGTGAGACAGTGTTACATTTCTGTGTGGTCTGCTCCTGTATGTGAGACAGTGTTACATTTCTGTGTGGTCTGCCCTGTATGTGAGACAGTGTTACATTTCTGTGTGGTCTGCTCCTGTATGTGAGACAGTGTTACATTTCTGTGTGGTCTGCTCCTGTATGTGAGACAGTGTTACATTTCTGTGTGGTCTGCTCCTGTATGTGAGACAGTGTTACATTTCTGTGTGGTCTGCTCCTGTATGTGAGACAGTGTTACATTTCTGTGTGGTCTGCTCCTGTATGTGAGACAGTGTTACATTTCTGTGTTGTCTGCTCCTGTATGTGAGACAGTGTTACATTTCTGTGTGGTCTGCTCCTGTATGTGAGACAGTGTTACATTTCTGTGTGGTCTGCTCCTGTATGTGAGACAGTGTTACATTTCTGTGTGGTCTGCTCCTGTATGTGAGACAGTGTTACATTTCTGTGTTGTCTGCTCCTGTATGTGAGACAGTGTTACATTTCTGTGTAGCTTGCTCCTGTATGTGAGACAGTGTTACATTTCTGTGTGGTCTGCTCCTGTATGTGAGACAGTGTTACCTTTCTGTGTGGTCTGTTCCTGTATGTGAGACAGTGTTACATTTCTGTGTAGCTTGCTCCTGTATGTGAGACAGTGTTACATTTCTGTGTTGTCTGCTCCTGTATGTGAGACAGTGTTACATTTCTGTGTGGTCTGCTCCTGTATGTGAGACAGTGTTACATTTCTGTGTGGTCTGCTCCTGTATGTGAGACAGTGTTACATTTCTGTGTGGAATGCTCCTGTATGTGCGACAGTGTTACAGATTTCTGTGTGGCCTGCTAATATCTGTGTGGGCTGCTAATGTATGGGACACAATGTTTCAGATATCTGTGTAGTCTGCTAATGTTTCGAACACAATGTTTCAGATATCTGTGTGGTCTGCTAATGTATGGGACACAATGTTTCAGATATCTGTGTAGTCTGCTAATGTATGTGACACAATGTTTCAAATATCTGTGTAGTCTTCTAATGTATGTGACTCAATGTTTCAGATATCTGTGTGGTCTGCTAATGTATGTAACACAATGTTTCAGATATCTGTGTGGTCTGCTAATGTATGGAACACAATGTTTCAGATATCTGTGTGGTCTGCTAATGTATGTGACACAATGTATCAGATATCTGTGTGGTCTGCGTATGTATGGGACACGATGTATCAGATATCTGTGTGGTCTGCTAATGTATGTGACACTATGTGTCAGATATCTGTGTAGTCTGCTAATGTATATAACACAATGTTTCAGATATCTGTGTAGTCTGCTAATGTTTCGGACACAATGTTTCAGATATCTGTGTAGTCTGCTAATGTTTCGGACACAATGTTTCAGATATCTGTGTAGTCTGCTAATGTTTCGGACACAATGTTTCAGATATCTGTGTAGTCTGCTTATGTTTCGGACACAATGTTTCAGATATCTGTGTGGTCTGCTAATGTTTCGGACACAATGTTTCAGATATCTGTGTAGTCTGCTAATGTTTCGGACACAATGTTTCAGATATCTGTGTGGTCTGCTAATGTTTCGGACACAATGTTTCAGATATCTGTGTAGTCTGCTAATGTTTCGGACACAATGTTTCAGATATCTGTGTAGTCTGCTAATGTATGTGACACAATGTTTCAAATATCTGTGTAGTCTTCTAATGTATGTGACTCAATGTTTCAGATATCTGTGTGGTCTGCTAATGTATGTAACACAATGTTTCAGATATCTGTGTAGTCTGCTAATGTATGGAACACAATGTTTCAGATATCTGTGTGGTCTGCTAATGTATGTGACACAATGTATCAGTGTGGTCTCTGCGTATGTATGGGACACGATGTATCAGATATCTGTGTGGTCTGCTAATGTATGTGACACTATGTGTCAGATATCTGTGTAGTCTGCTAATGTATATAACACAATGTTTCAGATATCTGTGTAGTCTGCTAATGTTTCGGACACAATGTTTCAGATATCTGTGTAGTCTGCTAATGTTTCGGACACAATGTTTCAGATATCTGTGTAGTCTGCTAATGACACAATGTTTCAGATATCTGTGTAGTCTGCTAATGTTTCGGACACAATGTTTCAGATATCTGTGTAGTCTGCTAATGTTTCGGACACAATGTTTCAGATATCTGTGTGGTCTGCTAATGTTTCGGACACAATGTTTCAGATATCTGTGTGGTCTGCTAATGTTTCGGACACAATGTTTCAGATATCTGTGTGGTCTGCTAATGTTTCGGACACAATGTTTCAGATATCTGTGTAGTCTGCTAATGTATGGGACACAATGTTTCAGATATCTGTGTAGTCTGCTAATGTATGGGACACAATGTTTCAGATATCTGTGTGGTCTGCTAATGTATGGGACACAATGTTTCAGATATCTGTGTGGTCTGCTAATGTTTCGGACACAATGTTTCAGATATCTGTGTAGTCTGCTAATGTATGGGACACAATGTTTCAGATATTTGTGTAGTCTGCTAATGTATGGAACACAATGTTTCAGATATCTGTGTGGTCTGCTAATGTATGGGACACAATGTTTCAGATATCTGTGTGGTCTGCTAATGTTTGGACACAATGTTTCAGATATCTGTGTAGTCTGCTAATGTATGGGACACAATGTTTCAGATATTTGTGTAGTCTGCTAATGTATGGAACACAATGTTTCAGATATCTGTGTGGTCTGCTAATGTATGTGACACAATGTATCAGATATCTGTGTGGTCTGCGAATGTATGGGACACGATGTATCAGATATCTGTGTGGTCTGCTAATGTATGGGACACAATGTTTCAGATATCTGTGTAGTCTGCTAATGTATGGGACACAATGTTTCAGATATCTGTGTAGTCTGCTAATGTTTCGGACACAATGTTTCAGATATCTGTGTAGTCTGCTAATGTTTCGGACACAATGTTTCAGATATCTGTGTAGTCTGCTAATGTTTCGGACACAATGTTTCAGATATCTGTGTAGTCTGCTAATGTTTCAGACACAATGTTTCAGATATCCTACCTGAAAGACAGCCTGAGTGTGACCCAGACCCAGACTCTCAAACACAAGAGTGCACTGCTGGGCGAGAAGATTGAGCTGCAACAGAAGAAATTACGTGAAGGAGGGAAAGAAGCTTGGCTAGGTACATACTAGCAGCATACTGCATACTGAGTCTACATTCTTACACCCAAGATGCTCATCCTCAACGTACTCTCAACACAATCACTCTCAACTCTGCATGTCTTAGCTGACATGGTTAGTTTGGGATTGAACAGATGGATGGTAATCAGGCCTTGAAACTAGGTGTATGCTTGTCATGATGGCCTTAAACAACAAACAAACAAAACATTTTGACATCTAGTATACACATGATACATGCCTCCAATGGAAAACATGGCTGAACTTTGACCTGCCCGAGATTCAAAAACGGGACATTTATTTCACAGTCTATTGCCAAAACTTCCGATCCTGCTGAAGTATTTTCAGTATATTTTTGTTTTAGTGTATTGATTATTGATTGAAAAGAAATTTCATAGACTTTGGTGTTGTGGTTTAATTAATGACTGATTTCATCAAACTGAAATGATATGCTTTCTCTCACAGCGTGTGTTGATGGAAAAGTTTTTTTCGGCAGTTTGATACAGATGTATGTGTATTTTGCAGCATATGTTGAAGTGGTGAAAGAGGAAATGCCGTCCTATGAGACAGATGCACGGCAACTAGCCAAGATTGGGGACATGCAGAAGGCGCAGATCATGCTCACAAAGAAGAAGATGGCAGAGAAGGAGGTGAGTGACATGTTCATGGTTACTTCTACTGACACTTGGTCTCACTTGTTACTGAAGAGGTGACACAGTATCCATGATATATATATATAATCCATGGGTTGATCAGATCAATCATCATAATTTTGTACTACAACTAATAGAAGAAGTGTATTATCCCCCACAACAACGAAGTTGCAGGGGATATAGAAAAGAGTTCCATCAGTCCGTCCGTGTGTCTGTCCGTGCATCCGTCACACTTTGTCCGAAGCTTATCTCCTAAACTATTGGTACACATGTCAACCATGATCCCTAGATGTGCCTTTTGGGGGTTCGACCCAGATGCGAATTTTATTTTTTGCTGTTTCCGTGGAAACATGACTTAGGCTGTAACTATGAGGATGTCATCTTGTCCGGAGCAGATCTCCCAAACTATACATGCTAGCTTTATCATCCTTGGTACATATGTCAAGCATGATCCCAAGATGTGCCTTTTGGGGTTTAGACCCAGATATGAATTTTATTTTTTGCTGTTTCCATGGAAACGAGACTATGAGGATGTCATCTTGTTGCATTTCCATGGCAACAAGTTAGGCTTCAACTGAATTTGATGGTAGTGCTCCTCTCTGGAGCAGATCTTAAAAACCTTTCAATACTCTCCTTCCACTTTGGTGTATACACTCCAAAACATTTGACATAATCATAACTGGTAGACATATTCATAAAGAGTATTTTACCGTTGAGGGGGATATTGATGACTTAGTCTTCTTGTTTCAGTTTCAACTACAACTAAGTCTATCATAAGATGTTACGATGACTTTGTTCAAGTGGGGCTAGGACACATCCAAATAACCTGAAGTTGAAATGTTTTTTTCCAGTTTTAGTATGTTTAACTTATTGTCTGTTTTTATGTTTTTCAGCTGGCTGCTATTAGAGCAAAGTTCCCTGAGATCTAAGGTCTCATGATGAGAGCATAATGTGTGATAAACAGTGAACTGTGATTAGAATAGTCCCAGACCAGTTTATGCAATGGGGCTTTAATTCAGACAGCACAATTTCAGCAGAACAACAGAACCTACCCAGCTCAGTATATTACGTTGAGACTTAACTTCAGACAGCCAGTCTTCTACGTCACAACAGAACCTATCCAGCCTGGTGCATTACCTTGGGACATAACTACAGACAACCATTCTTCTTCACAACAGAACCTGCCCCGCCCAGTGTATTACCTTGGAACATAACTACAGACAACCATTCTTCTTCACAACAGAACCTACCCAGCTCAGTATATTACCTTGGAACATAACTACAGACAACCATTCTTCTTCACAACAGAACCTGCCCATCTCAGTATATGACCTTGGAACATAACTACAGACAACCATTCTTCTTCACAACAGAACCTGCCCATCTCAGTATATTACCTTGGAACATAACTACAGACAACCATTCTTCTTCACAACAGAACCTATCCAGCCCAGTGCATTACCTTGGGACTTAACTTCAGACAACCATTCTTCTTCACAACAGAACAGAACCTTCTTCACAACAGAACCTGCCCAGTATATTACCTTGGAACATAACTACAGACAACCATTCTTCTTCACAACAGAACCTACCCAGCTCAGTATATTACCTTGGAACATAACTACAGACAACCATTCTTCTTCACAACAGAATCTGCCCATCTCAGTATATTACCTTGGGACTTAACTTCAGACAACCATTCTTCTTCACAACAGAACCTATCCAGCCCAGTATATTACCTTGGAACATAACTACAGACAACCATTCTTCTTCACAACAGAACCTATCCAGCCTCAGTATATTACCTTGGAACATAACTACAGACAACCAGTCTTCTTCACAACAGAACCTGCCCAGCCCAGTGTATTACCTTGGAACATAACTACAGACAACCATTCTTCTTCACAACAGAACCTGCCCAGCCCAGTGTATTACCTTGGAACATAACTACAGACAACCATTCTTCTTCACAACAGAACCTATCCAGCCCGGTGCATTACCTTGGAACATAACTACAGACAACCATTCTTCTTCACAACAGAACCTGCCCCGCCCAGTGTATCACCTTGGGACTTAACTTCAGACAACCATTCTTCTTCACAACAGAACCTATCCAGCTCAGTATATTACCTTGGGACTTAACTTCAGACAGCCAGTCTTCTACGTCACAACAGAACCTATCCAGCCCGGTGCATTACCTTGGGACTTCACCATAGGTGCCGCATATTTGTTGCTGTGACTGCTGTGACTTGCTGACTGCTTCAATGGCATCACTTGAAACTGGTCTCATCTCATCACATCATGTTTGATGAGTGAGCTGGACTTCATGTCATGTGTATGAGTCATCTTTTGGCAAGAATTGTGTATTGTATGAAGAGCAGTAGGAGATTTTGAGTTGCAGTCATTTCATGGCATAGGGATTTCCATGACTGAGGAATCATGATGGCAGTCAGTGACTTGAAGAATCCATGGGTGTCCCTATATAAGGTGAAACTTGTGTAATGTGTTATCCTTTGTACATGACAGAGGAGTAGATACAGTGGCATGTTTGGATAATATCTGATTGACTGTTCCAGATAGGAGCAGCAATAATCCTGTGTGGTTTGTTGTGTTGTGCTCATGTCAGTCTTCAACTTTAACCATTATTTCAAAGCCTGCATGCATCAGGTAATCTGTTTCAGAACAGTGAACTCAGTGAGTAATTGTCCTATCCCAACGCTGAGGTACACTGGAAATGATGCCAAGAGAGAAGCAGACAAAGAAACCCTGACAGGCTTATGACCTTTTACAGCAATGGAGGCTAGACATTTTTACTTCTTCTGTTATGGTTGAAACTAAAACCGTTTAGTTAACAAATATTTTCATCTGAGTTTGAAGTAAAAAAGCCCAAGATCTTTTCATCGAGAAGGGTGCACCTCTGTCTTATAGGGTTGTCTTTTAATTGATCACATGTCCATTTTTTTGCCCAGTAGAGAGCTCACCTTTAAGGAATGTAGTATATTTTAGTTTTATTAGTGCCCTTGATGAATGCAAACAGTGTTAAAGTGTTACCTAAGCTGTACAAAAACAGTGTGGGTTGCTGTCCATATGGAGGTTGTGAATTGGAATTTTCATTCATATTTATTTCAAGCATGGAGTAGCTGCTTATCAAGGCATTATCTTGGAATCCAAGCTGTGTGCCCTTCGCAGACATATTGTGATCAAATGTTAGTCTTGTTTTGTTATTGAGATTTACTTTTAAATTTGTATGTTCTTAAATACATCACTGCAGTAAAGGCAGTAATGTAAATCCAGTGATAAAGACTCCTCTCTACTAGTCCTGTTATCAGTAACATTCACCATGGCAAAGCCATAATATTTGAGTTACAAATTTCATAAAGTGGACTGGAATTTATTTTGTTCCAATTTGGGGTAATATTTACTGCTGTGAGCTGTAGAATTGAGGCTAAATATTGGCATCTGAACTGGCCTCAATAAATCCCTATGTGTACATGATCTCTACCCCGATGATGACTTTGAATGATACATCAATTCATCAGCCCATAAGCTGTAAATATGCTGTATATACACTATAGCAATGTACCTTCCTTCGTTTCTACAATATTCACACATTGCAAACTTGTTCACTGTTGTAGAGTGCACAATAGATTTGTCAGGTTCAGCTAAATGCACCTTTATTGTCTTATTTTGAATATTTCTGAAGTGATATTAAAATCCTTAGAACCAGTTTTCCTTAGCTCTTAATTTAAATTGTATTCCTTGTAATGTAGTCTATTTTGCATGCAGTAAAATCCATGCATACAGATGTTACTGTTGAACTTATGCAAGGGAGATGATACAGGGCATTGTTCTGTGGCATATTTCATGTTAGTTTTGCAAAGACCTGTCATAGAAAGGATCAAAGTGCATTTTCATGGTAGCAGTTGAGTAGTTCCATTTCAAACAACATTGTCTGTTAGCCTAGCACAGCAGTTTCAGCACTAGTAAGCATTTTCAGTGGATATATCTAAGTTCTTTTATGTCAGACAGCCATAGCATAGAAATGAAAAATTAAGCCATTTTAATGATATTATGTACTTGTCATGAAGGTGCAATATATACTGAGGGAAACAAATAAGGGAACACCACTTCATGGAAGTGTTCCTTTATTTATTCTCAGATCTCCTCCTACAGCGCTATTCAAAGCTAGTGGTGAAAACTGGAAAATATTAAATGAATGCTTGAATTTTCCTGTGTTCCTTTATTTGTTTCTGTCAGTATATTTTAGGTTAATCCTGCTAACCACTCTAATGCTTTTCAAATTCTCCTGGTTCTACATTATCAAAGGTACATGTCATATATAGAGATTGAATCATATTGAACTGGTATAGTCAACATTAAATGAATGCACTCACAAATGTTCTTGCATGATTTACAGATTCTAAGCAAAAGACTTTCAGGTTGATATTTTCATGTTAATCATTTTTTGGAAATTTTGAGTATTTTGGGAGGAATATAAGAGTGTAAGATACATTTGGACCACAAGTTCAACTCTTTTATGAACAGAACTAGGAGATCTTGAAAACAAGGAAGAGTTTATATTGATGTAAGGAAAATGTTTCAATGACTGTTAAATTTGTTATCTGTTATTTATTATTTTGGATAATGATTTATCTAGTTGCATGTACATACCATTTAATGATTGTGTTATTATCTGTCTTCTGTTTTGATATTTGTATATAGCACAGATTACTATTATTTGTACTTTTAATGTGTACCAGCATGATTTTGTCATTTATATATGTACTATCATTTTCAAAGTAGAGATGTTTGAATTCTTTCTCCTTACAAGAAGTAAAATGAATATAATGGAAATATCTGTATGTGTAATGTTTTAACCTGTGTGTTTCTTTCAACAATTTTGACTGAATAAAATGCCATTACATGTGAATTCTATATTCTACTCATTGTAAATACATAAACTGAAGACAATAAATATAAATATTTAATGTTAATTTCATAAAATGTCTTGATTTTACTTCAGAAAGTGGAGGTGTAGTGTTGTGGAATTCAGAGTAGTTAAGCCTTTAGGGACCATTCATTATTTATGGCTAGGGGGGCGATGATGATTTGTATGGAGCAACATGTTCAATGTGAATGACCCTTAACCTAATTTTTACGCATAAACATTTAATATTCTTATGCACAAAATTGCTGAAACCAGACAAAAAACTCAATTTAACATATGCTTAAACCAGAATACATTGTCAGAGTCCCATCCCTGCCCACTTCCCTACCCTATGCCCACCTCACTTGATTGTCCCGGAGTACACACACAGAGGCAAGTAGTAACCTCCAGGGCCTAGATTTTCGAAGCCCTCTTAGTGCTAAGATAGTCGTAAGTTAATGTTAATGAATGGCACTTACGACTGTTAGCGTTAAGATTGTCGTAAGTTAATGTATGGCACTTACGACAATCTTAGCGCTAAGAGAGCCTCGAAAATCTAGGCCCTGTCTTTTTAACTTGATAACATTCATCACATACCTGTAGCAGTCACACCCATGTGAATAACATCAACAGACAGTTAATGGGGGAAGATGGATACACATCTAATGATTTTTTACCTCACAGATAAGATGCCACACATGCTCTTCTTGGCTGAAGGGTTATTCAATACTTTAAAGCAGTACCTGGACCACTATCTGAAATTAGACCCAATGACAAGTGAGCAACAGTGCTGACATCATCTGGAGATGTCTCCCACAAGGAACAGTCCCGTCAGTTTGGGCATCAAGCCTGCATCTCAAGCATGAGCAGTACAACACTCTGCAGCCTTAGTGTCAGGTGTGAAGATTTCATACGACAAGATGGGTATCCTTCACTTCAGAAACTACAAATAGCACCCGCTCAATGCAACAGGAGAGAAAATCCAAGTTGACTAACACAATAGCACTTACTGTCCTGGTAATCTGTATGTTTAATTTCATTCACAACAGAACGTGAAAACCAGAAAACGAAAATAATTTCTCCTGGACGTTTATCCCAATAAACTGTTTGCTGGACATGCTGGATGGCTTACTACAAGAAACAAAATACTTTCTACTGTGCAATTCCAGCGTGCGTTTGTTCATCACAATAGTGATCAAATAGTGACCATGCCAGGTATTTGCAGAACGGTGAGGGGACAGTGACCCACCTGTGGCACCTGTCACCAACAAATCCTAAAAGGGAAGTTGACTTGACGAAACAAGTAAGCATTTTGAAGTAAGCCAGAAGAAGGGATTGCGTGAGACATAATTTTCGTCAAAACAATCCTACCATAAAACTATTTGAAAGCTTTGCTGTGAGGTCTCAAAGGTTGTATAACTGACTGGAGTCCTGTTGATAAATGTGTTGGTAGAGAAAAATTGTTGTCTACTACATGTTATGAAACAGTAACCAAAAACATGGCAGTCTCCAACAATAATCATACAATGTGCACCATTGAGCGTAATCCTCAAGCATAAAAGGCGGCATTTAAACCTAAATGACTCACTCACTAAATGACAGCACGTTCGGCTAATGGCCCTCCCAACCTTCACCTCGATCAAGGATTTGAGAAGGCCAAGGACCGTTGTGTTGACATGACACTCACCATTGGATGCGTGGTTCCTGGAGCATTTCCTTGAAGCTGTCACTTGAAGGGGAGTCTTTGACTAATGTACATATTGACTGGAAATATACAACATAAGTTATAGGTATACCTGTTGAAATGAGTTACGTGTGACGGAACTGCTTTCAACAAATCAGTTACCTCGACACATCTGTCAAAGAAATTATTAACTTTGTACATATCATGTTCATTTCATCATAAAGCTGTCTGCTGTTATCTGAATGAATGATCATCAAGGCATTGGTGAATGTACCACACCCAATTAGGAAATGACATGATTGGTCTAACTGTCAAGCACGTTCTTTGTTGAAGATAAAGTAAAAAATGACAGTAAAGATTTTGAACTATAAAGTGTTTCAGATGTTTAACATCAATTGTTTCAAAGAAAAATCCTGCAATCGATTACCTATCTGAACACATGTTTCTTGTAAGATGCACATGTTTCATGTACATATCACACAACGCATTTCAATTAATGATCATTATCTGTTTGATTGCCCATGCAAACTACAAACCTTCTAGTAAAATACATGATGTTGAAGGATAGTCCTAATCACAGATTTCTCAAGATTTGTTTATGCTGAGAAATGGGATCGATCGACTTGACAATATTGTGTTTTTCTTTATAAGTTGAGATGATGACATTTGCTTGACAACGACATTAGAATCTATGTCTAAACGTCGCCATCCATAAATTATCACCATTCTTAATATGTGTTTCTTTGTTTGTTTGTTTAACAATCGTTCAGCAATAATACACCTATGTGGCAACGGTCTGTAATTAAACATCGTGTCTGGACCAGACAACTCAGTGATCAACATCATGAGCATTGATCTACGGAGCGTGGATACAATGACATGTTTAACCAAGTCAGCGAGCCTGACCACCCGATCCCGTTAGTTGCCTATTACGACCAGCTTAATTGGCTTGCTGGAGACAATCCCGGATCTTCACGCCTTGAAAGGATGTGAATTTTAAATGGGGACATATGTAGGCTAAAATGGCAGATTGACTTATCCGATTGACTTCTAACTGACTGGCGGTCCATCAAGTTTTACTTTCCTCCAAAATCAAAACACTCTGTGTCAATTAAAAAGGTCTCAAAATGGATGTAACAGGAAAGAGGACGAACTCTGCTGTTAAGCATACACCTTTAACTGGAGTGTAGGTGTCTTTGTAGGAAATGTATCAAGATTTGATAACCAAATACCAAATATGTTTGAGGTGTGTTTCAGAACATGCTATCAAATTGAAGAGCTGTGTTCCAAAACAACATGCTATCAAATTGAAGAGCTGTGTTTCAGAACATGCTATCAAATTGAAGATGTGTGTTCCAAAACAACATGCTATCAAATTGAAGAGCTGTGGTTCAGAACATGCTATCAAATTGAAGAGGTGTGTTCCAGAACAACATGCTATCAAATTGAAGAGGTGTGTTCCAGAACAACATGCTATCAAATTGAAGAGCTGTGTTTCAGAACATGCTATCAAATTGAAGAGGTGTGTGTGTTCAAATTGAAGAATAACATGCTATCAAATTGAAGAGCTGTGTTTCAGAACATGCTATCAAATTGAAGGTGTGTGTTCCAAAACAACATGCTATCAAATTGAAGAGCTGTGGTTCAGAACATGCTATCAAATTGAAGAGGTGTGTTCCAGAACAACATGCTATCAAATTGAAGAGGTGTGTTCCAGAACAACATGCTATCAAATTGAAGAGCTGTGTTTCAGAACATGCTATCAAATTGAAGAGGTGTGTTCCAGAATAACATGCTATCAAATTGAAGAGCTGTGTTTCAGAACATGCTATCAAATTGAAGAGGTGTTTTCCAGAATAACATGCTATCAAATTGTAGAGGTGTGTTCCAGAATAACATGCTATCAAATTGAAGAGGTGTGTTCCAGAACAACATGCTAGCAAATTTAAGCGGTCTATTCAAGATCCACACCCGAACGGTACATTATCTACGACGGACTGTGAGCAATGGCTCGAATAGAAAAAAAACTTTGCCTGGTATGATAGGCGCCACCTTCGTAGGCTGGATGTGGATCATAGTCCCAAAGTTGTTGCACGGACATTTCAGTGAAAATCTGAATGTAAGTGGACGTGAGTTGATGGTATGACACTAATAGTGTTATTTTGATAGTTGGAAAATAACAACAGAACCCATGGCCTTTGGCGGGTCGTGTGTTTGAGTTCTTAGACACAGGAGCACATCCATGACAAAGCCTTAAGGTGAGGGGGTCGTTAACATGTTAGTTGTCACTCAGCTGCCACGGCTTCCAAAATATCATATAAACAATGCAGAGAGGAATGCGGAAATGAAATTCTGGCCATAACTGACACATTTGATTAAGTATCGTGTCGTTCTATTGACAAAATGATGCATTATTAGGGTGGGTAGATCGCGGGATACGTTGTCGCTGTTGTGGGGGGCTTGGAAGGATGTGTGTGACGCTGAGTCCTAATGCGAGATATTTCTCCATGCGTAATAACTCAATGAACGTACGTGACCGGATTCGGTCATTTAGTCCACGAGGCATACATTTCTCTATACCTAGAAAGGCGTGTTTGACAGTCTGGATACCATAAGCCCTGCTTTCCATTGGAATAAGCCCCCAAGAACAAGGGTTATCCCCCAGAATGACGCTTTTTTGACACTGTGACGCTTATGAGAAAATCACTCCAATTGTCAATTGTACAGTCTACAGACTACAATGTTAGTCAACCGTCCACCTGACTGAACACGGGAAACCATGGTAAACGGCTAAGTAGGATAATGCATAGGATCTCATAATTGTCAATGTCAAGAAAAAGCTGGACATGTCTCAGAATGGGAAATAGAAGGAAGGGAATTGGTTATTTTGTGAATTATTGAACAATATTATTCTATGGATACGTCTGAGGACGATCTTCTTGGCCAAAATGCCTTGTTTTGACTTTGCGAATCCGAGCATAACTTCCGGTCCATTTGCATTAAGAAACGGATCAGCAGAAGGTGAGCACAATGGGTGCCCATTGACATGCCTAAACCCCTTGACTAAAATGTCCTACCACAATTTCGTATATACATTATCCAGCAAGTCAGACGGTAACCCAATTTTGTAACAAATGGTCATGAAGGACAGCCAACCCCCCAGCACACACACACACACGCACGCACACACACACACACACACACACACCCCCTCCCTCCCCAACCCAATCATCTTTTCTGTCTAAACTGTGTTCCAACGGAGCAGCTAGTAGCCCTACTCGTCTACTCGTCACCCAGACCACATATACCTTGTCCTGAAAACTATACACTTTTGGTTGAAGTAAACAAATTGTTTCCTGTAATTACCTGCAGAGCCAAACAATGTGCATAAACCCGATCGTTCTCTACTCTCTGTGGACCAAAACGGACTTGCACTTCCCGAGGGTTTATCAGCAATGGTTTATACAGGTTTGTCAGTTGTATCTCCTTATGTTGGGAACAATCTTCCTCTGAAAACCAGATGATACACGTAAATAAATACGTAAAAGGAGGTCAGGCATATTCAGGCTGGTTAGGTTCATGCAACCATCAATGAGGCTAGCAAGCAACCATTAATGTAACACCCTCCAACCATACATGCATACATACATACTAACATTTGTATAGCGCCGATATCCAGCTCAGCTCAGCTGCTCAAAGGCGCTTTGTTTTCAATGTAGACGCTCTGAAACATCAGTGAAGCCGCTCCCAGCCACCAATGTAGACACCCTGAAGAATCAGTGAAGCCACTCCCAACAACAATGTAGACGCCCTAAAGCATCAGTGAAGCCGCTCCCAGCCAACGATGTAGACGCCCTGAAGCATCATCAGTGAAGCCACTCCCAACTATCAATGTAGACACCCTGAAGCATCATCAGTGAAGCCACTCCCAACCATCAATGTAGACACCCTGAAGCATCATCAGTGAAGCCTCTCCCAACCATCAATGTAGACACCCTGAAGCATCATCAGTGAAGCCACTCCCCACTCCCAACTATCAATGTAGACATCCTGAAGCATCAGTGAAGCCGCTCCCAGCCAACGATGTAGACGCCCTGAAGCATCATCAGTGAAGCCACTCCCAACTATCAATGTAGACACCCTGAAGCATCAGTGAAGCCACTCCCAACTATCAATGTAGACACCCTGAAACATCAGTGAAGCCGCTCCCAGCCACCAATGTAGACACCCTGAAGAATCCGTGAAGCCACTCCCAACAACAATGTAGACGCCCTGAAGCATCAGTGAAGCCGCTCCCAGCCAACGATGTAGACGCCCTGAAGCATCAGTGAAGCCACTCCCAACAACAATGTAGACGCCCTGAAGCATCAGTGAAGCCACTCCCAGCCACAAATGTAGACACCCTGAAGCAACAGTGAAGCCACTCCCAGCCACCAATGCAGACACTCTGAAGCCTCAGTGAAGCTACTCCCAACCACCAATGCAGACATCGTGCACCCATCAATGTAGCTAGCAACCAACCATCAGGTAATCAGCTATCATCCATCAGTGTATCACCCTTCTACCATAAGAAAGTCAATGAACACAGTGAAAGTGAATGAACACAGCCTCCATCAACCAGGTAGCAATAACCATCCATAGAAATGGACAGAAACATTCTGTCAATGCAGACAGCTGCCATCCCTCAAGGTAGACAGCAACTAGTCATCAATGGAGAGAGCAACCAACTAGCGAGGTATCCAATGACTAGTCCTCAGTAGCAAATAATCAGTTAGTGGGAAGCCATCTACGAACCATACTAGCCACCAACTATCAGATCAAAGTAGCTAGCAGCATTCTGCTTCATGGTTTTTATAAAGTCCTGAGAGGTAAAGTAATTAGGATTTTCGTATTCATTTTCTCTCAAATTTACATTTGGAGCTTTGCATTATTCTTCTATGGCACGTGGTATTAATCGTTATCATTACTACAGCAGTTCTGCAATGTGAATCTGTTCAACTACGTCTTTCCATATTGTATACACCTGAAGATCGTAAACCACACCATGTACTAGGTTGAAAAGAGGTCTTACGGCCACAATGTTATTCTTGGCGACTGTCTCTTTAAAATACCATCAGAGGAGATAAAGCGGGTCGAGAAAACTGACAGCTGGCTACAAATATTTTGTACTGATGTAGAAAGCTTCCTGTTGGTGTTGTAAACGTCCCCTACAGAATAATGACACCATCATAATTTGCATAATTTGCCGGCCACACAGTCCTTTCTTCAAGAGACTGAAATCTGAAGGTGCCAAATCTGGTGAATTCGAAAGATGTCAAATGAGTTCAGTTGCATAGATATGCATTGCAGTATTGGCGGTAAGGCAAATAGTCATGATGGAACAACACGCCTTAGATCACTGTTAGATATTCCCACACTGTAGATGCCAGATTAGCAGGTAGGCTATCAATGGTCTGAACTTTCGGAAGATATTCAATCAGAAGGATTCCTGTTGAAAATCAGAAACCAATGGAAACATCTTCGAGAGGTGTTTCCAGTGCCTTGGCAGCTTTTTAGTGGCTGAACTGGTGAATCAAAGACTTTTCCATGGTTACGAATTAGCTTGCTTCAAAACGAAGTAAATTCTCACGAAAGATGATAAACCGGAAACGTATTTTATCAGGACTCAGAAACAACTGTCATGCCCACTTATAACTCAGTATGTTCTCAATTCTCTCATGAGCGATGGCAATCCTACTGAACATGTGTGGTGTGTTGTTAGTTGTTTATCATCCGGACTCACATCCTGTATTTTATTAACACTGGTGGTGTCAGCTGAAGGTTTTCTT